ATCCCCCAAAACCCCAAAACCCCAGGTGTCTACCAATATAATTTGGAAATATATAAAACATTATAATAAAAGTAATAGAAAATACAATGGAGGAAATTATAAATGAAGTTAATTATATGGAGTAGTTATATCAGGTAATTGGGACTGACTCTCAATTCTTGCAATTTATCATGATGCCAAGTCAGCAGATAATCACCAGCGAAAGCAGTATCTAGTATATGAGTGAAAAACTGTAAATAAGATCTAAATATACTATGAGAGAAAGACTAAAGTAAGTAATCAATTTAAATTCATTGATTTATCAGTACTTAAATTAAATTTCATTTATAGATAAGTGTTTACTGGGTAGAGAAAACTTGATTTCATTGTGGAAAACGTAGCTAACTCTGTTGAGTACATTGGACTCACTTAGAATTCTGGAAGGATTATAGTAATTGAACCACAAATTATGGAGTAAATATCAGTCTTGGAGTAATACGTGTTGGCTCACACTAGTAACATAGACTTAGTAATCAATAAAAGTTATCAGGGGAGGAATATACTCGGACGCTCCAAACAATACTTTAAATTGATTACTAAACATCAGTTACCTTTCCTATTTGAACATTTCTTATAAGATGAGACTGACAACATTAAACCACTGGCTAACCAATATAAAGAAGTCGAAAAATAAGCCAAAGAGCTTGTCTTCCTTCATGTAAATGGTAATAAGAATTCAAAGCTTAAATTTTCTTTTAGAAAACGTAATAGAAAAGAGTCTGGGAGTTGGTGAAAAAATTGTGATACATAAACAATGCGTGATTGGTTTCTAGGAGAGTATAAAGTTTAGCTAGTCTAATGATAATATATACAACTCAGGAAACTTCGTGCTAGTTGAAGGTCCTGGCCTAGTTTACATTGAGACTGCTATTATTGATGACAGCTTTATTGTTAGAAATTTATCCAAAAGGGAAGCTACTAGATGATAAAATTATGTATTTCTTTAGAATTTATAATCTTGATTTAATTACCAAAGTTAATTGAGATTTAAATCATTGAGGGGTTTTGGGGTTTTGGGG